AATCGTCTGGAGTTCTTTCTTAATTGTTGTGACATTTGTAGGTAACTGTCAACTTGACACTGTCTTTTCCTATGGTGTTGTTATGGCTACGTATAGCTTGTTGGAAATACAGTGTGAGTCACGTTAAAGTGTACATATGAAAATAGATGAAACTAGACCTATTTTTATCGACAAAAAAGAGGTCAAAATTTTTTAGAGATTTTTTTTAATTTTTTTATATAATTTTTTTTCTTCCAATTACTTATTGTAAAGAAAACGTAAGACCTTTTTAAACTAAGCGGTATATCCTGATAAAATAAAAACAGTAATAATGCTAAATAAAAGGCAATACTAAAAAAATACATAAAATACACAAAAAATGCCAACAAATAATAAAAAATGATACTTTTTGAAAAAAATCTGCTTAAAAATTCGTGTTTTTTTGGTTATTTGATAAATTTCTCCAAAAAATGCCCCTATAACCGGTGGTTTTTATTACTTTGTATTATTCTCTATCGTATTATCTTTGTAAAACCAAAAATCGCATGTCTCTATCCCTATCACAACATTTGCTATGATCGTCAAAATAGGTCTAGTTTCATCTATTTTCATATGTACACTTTAACGTGACTCACACTGTATATCTCATTAACACCACTGCGACTCGGTGTCACTAACCTCCCGTAACAGATACGATCTAAATCCATTGTCATGTTATAACGTCCTTGTGTCCAATACCCTTTTGCTTTTAATTTTATAAATCAGTGCCTATTAAGAGCATTAATCTTCTGATTATAGCTGAACTGCATCATCTATATTTTCATTTTTTACTGCCGGGATCCACTACTCATAGTAAGACACTCCGCAGACAACAGACTTTTTGTCTATATTGTATATAAGAATAAGAATAAGAAAAACTTTATTTGACACAAAAAAGGAAAAAAATAAAAAACAGAACAAAGGGACTTAAAACTATACACGCATATTTTTGTGTATTTGTATGAAGAATCGACCGATACTAAATCAGTGCAATGTGCGTAGTTCCATACAATACGTTCATACGAATTAACAGCCCGATCAAACTATCGGTCGACTAAAAGAGTGTAGTCTAGTCTAGGGGGTTCAAATTCAAATACTTTATTCAGTACATAGGCCCATTGTAGGGCACTTATACACGTCCCAAATATAGGGTGTCTATCTAAGACAGTGCATGCAGTATAATATGTTATATGATTCGTGTGTCTTTTTGGTTATTTTTGCAGTTTTTAATTTCTATTACACTATGCACTAATAGTACTGCCACCACGCGTAGGCGCTGGACACGCGCCAGGGTGCGAGTGCGACGCACCCGGACTCTATGCCACCGAAATAAACCAATGCACCTAGGATCCGCGATTTTCTGAACTACGATGAATCGCCACCGAAATTAGACACGGCCTATTACTGTCCTAGACAGTTAAATGCTTAAATGCCATCTGCATCTGACTATTTTTCGGTCTATGATGACCCGTTCGAACAATTAACGAATTGCCCTCTAGTGATACATTCTGCCCCCGATAGATGAACACCAAATCAAAATGGAGATGAAAAAGGTTCAAATAATTCTTAAGATGTCCTTGAGTTTTTAACTCATATCTGAAAAAAGTGTTATTATAGATGCGCCTTTTCAATTAGATGACTCAAAATATTTCTCTACACGTCTACGGTATAATGACAAAACAGGTGGAACTATTTAGTAACAAAATGAAGCCCAGTATAGTCACTCGAGCACTTTATACTTCTTTTTGTTTTATCAAGCTACTTTAAGTGGTTTTCACGATAATGTTTTTTGAATTTTTGTGCCGGTCTCAATTTCGCTCTTGGGTGTATATTTCTGTTTATATTTTACATTGAAGCGTACATAATTATCGCATATTGATTATATTGATGCTGCACATAAATTAACTGTAGCATTTACATGAAAACACACAAATAACGGACACAGGATCTTTTCCCACAGGCGAAATTTGTAGCGTCACATAACCAAACAGCATTGTTCTGTATTTTGAACTTCCTCACAATACTGGGAATCATCGCCGTCTCATGTGTTATTACAGTTATTATTACTCTTACCATCTTCCAATATACTGCAATAAAACAAATCGAGAATAATTACTTAGTACGTAGTAGTCATTCAGTAGGACTAGCGGTTCAGTTTGCTATAGCGCTTGCCAATAATGTCGAAACATTAGCATCGAAAAATACTACATAGTAATGCGACATATAGAGACCTTCAATGCAATCTGTTTATATGCAGTCTCGTTATATCAACTCAAGATTTGTAAAGAACTTGTCAATATTATTGCAAAACTAGCGACCGCCCGCGACTTCGTACGCGTGGATCTCGTTTTACCCCCTTAGGGGTGGAGTTTCGCAAAATCGTTTCTTAGCGGATGCCTACGACATAACACCTGCATGCCAAATTTCAGCCTGATCTATCCAGTGGTTTGGGCTGTGCGTTGATAGATCACTATGTCAGTCAGTCAGTCAGTCACCTTTGAGTTATATACAGTGTGAGTCACGTTAAAGTGTACATATGAAAATAGATGAAACTAGACCTATTTTTATCGACAAAAGAGAGGTCAATAAATTTTTGAGATTTTTTTAAATTTTTTTATACGAGTAGAATTTTTTTTCTTCCAATTACTTATTGTAAAGAAAACGTAATAACTTTTAAACTAAGAGGTATATCCAGATAAAATAAAAACAGTAATAATGCTAAATACAGGCGATACTAAAAAAATACATAAAATACACAAAAAATGCCAATAAATAATAAAAAATGATACTTTTTGAAAAAAATCTGCTTTTAAATTCGTGTTTTTTTTGTTATTTGATAAATTTCTCCGAAAAATGCCCCTATAACAGGTAGTTTTTATTACTTTGTATTATTCTCTATCGTATTATCTTTGTAAAACCAAAAATCGCATGTCTCTATCCCTATCACAACATTTGCTATGATCGTTTGAACAAAGGCCTGCCACAACATTATTCTCCGCTACAGGTTGAGACAATTATAATTTTAACTAAAATGCTTATTTTACTTCATAATCTTTTGTTTTTATTTGAAATCTAACTTGTCTTTATCAGAATTACAAATCTAGAGCCATTTTCAGTTTCGTTGTTAACGAAGCTTTGAATGGCGCGCCCGGAGAGGCTTAGTTCAAACGATCATTGCAAACGTTGTGATAGGGATAGAGACATGCGATTTTTGGTTTTACGAAGGTAATACGATAGAGAATAATACAAAGTAATAAAAACTACCTGTTATGGGGGCATTTTTCGGAGAAATTTATCAAATAACCAAAAAAACACGAATTTAAAAGCAGATTTTTTTCAAAAAGTATCATTTTTTATTATTTATTGGCATTTTTTGTATATTTTATGTATTTTTTTAGTATCGCCTATTATTTAGCATTATTACTGTTTTTATTTTATCAGGATATACCTCTTAGTTTAAAAGTTATTACGTTTTCTTTACAATAAGTAATTGGAAGAAAAAACAATTCTATAATTTTTTTAAAAAAAATCTTAAAAAATTTTTGCCCTCTTTTTTGTCGATAAAAATAGGTCTAGTTTCATCTATTTTCATATGTACTCTTTAACGTGACTCACACTGTATATTTAGATTAATAAAAAGATTAATAAAGACATTGACTGGATTAAGACTATAGTACGAATATAGTAGTGGCGTCAAGTTTTTAAGGCTTATGAGTTAGTAGACATTTTGAAGAACATAAGCTGATATAATCTTATTATTATATGTTTCGATCTTGATTTAATCTCATTTGCTAAAAGGTTTTAAGCCTGCAATATTGACAAGAGATTTTAAGTTCACGAACGGTCAAAGTACCATTATAGTTTTAATATTTGTCTTTAAAAATTGTTTCATTCGTTTAAGATGGATCATTGACTTACATCTTAGGTGTTGATTTATTAAGTACAATAATGTCGGGAAAGTTATTTCTTCGTCTAATTGTTTATAAACGTCTTATTATGAGTAGGCCTTATTTCCCACATAACTTTCTTTATAACTAATATCTTACTTTATTAAATGTTGTGACAAAATGTATGTCTATATTGCCTTGATTTGATCACTCAGTGTTGAGAATAGAATGGAAAAGCGAATAAATATCAAGTCAATCACAAAAAACTTGAAATTAAAGCAATCGACTCTTTTAGGTAGAATTCGAAGCCAAGACTTTTGGCTCTCGCCACATAGCATGTCGAAATTATAATATTTTAAACTATTATGTTGCATTTTTACTATAAATTTATCACTGTCACGGGATTTTGTAACAAAACACTTTTATAATGGTAATCATGTCGAAATTGTTCCAAAATACGCTGTCATCACGCGTCACGTTAGTAAATGGTACTCTCAAGTTTTGAAGCGCTTTGAATTTATTATGCTAACTAAGTAAAACATGTGCGGTTTATGTTTTACCTATTTAGCACCATATTCATCAACTCAATTACTGCAATGACCTTTACTCGTTTGCCACTTTTAATACTCTACCTGGAATTGAAAATAGAAAAAATTCTCGGTGTTTACGTTTTTTCAACATTTGTAAGGTTAAAATTAGCCCCAGCACAATGATCACAAACCTGATGAGTAATGGACTCCGTGACAGCTGTTTACTCGTTACGTGATGTGCGACACGCGCCCGCGCATCTTTGATTCACTACGACGTTTAGTGCGTTTGTTTATTGTGAGACTAGATGAACACGCAGGTTTGAATGCCTTTTTAAGTAGAATCAGTATTTAATGTTGCATTAGTTTTCTATCAAACAAGACCTATTATTTCTATGGATTATATAGTACAGCACAATGGGGTCTGTGATTTTATGGCTACTATTATTTTTATGAAAATCGATATAAAATGGATATCGAACATGCAAAAATGAAAAATCTAGTAAAACAATATAATAAACAATTAGTTTATTGAAATGTAAAAAGTATAACAGAAAGATTTCATCAATTCATTATTTTGAGTCCAATAACACAATAGGTATTATCTTAACCAATACACAGTTATGTAACTATACATAATACAGTAACAAAAAGTTTCAAACTTAACCACGATTCACAGATCACCATATCACAAATTCACTGTCACATTACAGTCCAGGCTCATCACAGTTCACCGTTCCACTATATTGATCATCACCACTTGTTCACCTCGCACTAACAGCTGGGGCATATGCCTGGTGCATTCTAATACACCCTTGCGCACGCGCGTCTCGGTCACTATGGGCACGGGCGATATCTTCGCCGCCGTTCCTTTGGGGACTGGTGTACCTGGATACAAAAATACAGGGTGTTAATTCATTGGCATCCTTTTAAAATAAGACTATTCATGATACATAGTTCTCCAAATAGGAGACAAATCCAATGAGTTAAAATTGCAATAGTTAAAACCTTGTGCTGACGACAGCACATCAAGTTTAACACTGATATCTTATTTAGATGTAATTGCTGTTATTTTGCAACTAAAATGTAGGCTGATGTGTTAACTGCACAATCGTTTTAAAACTCTATAAGAGCACACTAATACAAATAAACAGTCAAAATAAAGACAAATTTTAATAGTCATTGGATTTGTCTCATATTTGGGGAATGTACTATCATCTATCATGAGTAGAATCTTATATTAAAAGGATGCCATATTTAAACAATACAACTAACCTAGCGCGGACTTCGTCATTCATTTTTAAGTGATATCAGACGTAATTCATCAAGTTGGCTCAGCATTTTATTGAGCATGAAATCGTAACATACAATAACAATGTAACACACAACAGTTACTTTCGCTCTTAGTATAAATCTCATATTAGTGTTACAAAGTTTCAGAAATTTCGCTGAGCAATCAAAACCTACCTATTCAAATATCTCATATGTGTGCGTGCATTATTTCAAGATTGAATGGTAGAGGACGTTGTTAGGTAGTAATTCTGCCAATTTTTATGACTTTCGTTATTTCTTAGATTCTAAGTTCATTTATTTGTACGATAAGGTGTAAATAATAAATAATCAGGGATCATACATAAGTATCACATGGCCATATTATTAATATATTAAAAATTCTTGAACTTAGTTCGTAGGCGGTCACAGTCCTCTGACCTAAATAAAGCACAAACATGTTATAGAACCTTCAAATTGTCCTTATTTTCGACCTTCATCCGTTTTTGTAAACATATTATTTATTTGCTTTATTTATATTTAAATATCATTCGAATATTATTAAAGCGGTTACGTCATTTCAAACTCGCATGCCGTTTTTGATGTAAAGAGAAAAACATGGAGAAAGCAAGCAATTATAAAAGAGCTGAGTCACGCTGCATACTGCTTTCTTTATATAATCGTACGACATAATACTGTAAAATCTATTTATACATTAATATGCAAGTTGGGGCAATGACTTCGACGTTTATCGTTGATTGCATCGTCATACGTCGTGAACACACACACCATTAGATTTGGCTACATGATTCTAGAAGCTATAAGTGAAAGATCATAATTATGTATCTTGCATCCAGTTTCTAACACTACGCCAGCCCATATTTTATTACTGGTCTAGTGGACCACTATTTTTATGTGTATAAATAGTACGAATTGGAAACTAAAAGTTATTTTAAGCAGTAATTCGAGTATACTCCCGACATGAGACAGATTTTCTCAATTACAGACAGGAAGTTCAAAATGTAATAAGGAAACCGAAATCATATAAAAGGACTTTCCCACATAAACTGAAATTAAAATAATCAGTAGTCATTATCATCAGCCTACAGCAGTCCACTGCTGGACAAAAGACAAAAGCCCTAAAGATATCGCCAACCTCTGCCAGCGTCCTATTTCGGAACAGTATCTCTTAACAACTTACCCATAGGAGGTATTTTCCTCTTCCCTTTCGCCTTCTTCGTCCATATCTCCAGTACATCACTAAGGGCCAGGTTCCACTGCTTGTCGAACGCTACCAGCGTCGCGTGGAGAACTCCCCGCACTCCCCACCCGCTGTGTGTGGTCACCTGGACAGGGAATTGGGAATTAAGACTTACCATAATACAGATAGGAAACATTTTACAAATAGTAATTTAAAGGTGAAATTTAAAATGTAATTTTGGGACAAAACGCTTTCGTGGTTCAAATGTTAGAGACACTCCAACCACCAATGGGTTAGAATTCAATAAGGCAATGACAAATTACTTTATGATTTTTTTTCAAATTGTTACGTTTACAGCGTTTATCGCTTACAGTCACTACAGGCTTGATTTAATAGCTGATCGTCTGAAATACAATATGATTCGATGGTCGAAGTACCTACACGTTATTTTAGTCTAGGAAAGTAGCGAAGTAGATGGACTCACGCGAAACGCACTCTAAGGCTGATTGCATCATCTAAACTTTAACCGTAACTATAACTTTAACCGGTTTTTTATGAACTTTGACAGACTTGTCGTTTGTTATAGATAAAGATGGTGCAACCCAGGTTAAGTCTTGCCTATCCGAAATATTTAAAATCTTTAAGTATCAACTTCCTACATGTAAATACGCCCATGCTACGAATTTGAAGCTGCTTTTGACAGCAAGGAATTCTGCGGCGTAAATAACAAACACAGATTAGCATACAAAAGTGTTGCCACACTACAAGTGTTAATGCCAATGCCGTTGTTGCAGGTGCGCCCGCGCAAGAGGGACCGGTCACCTCACCAAATGTGTTCAACAAGCCTGCCTTCCTTAGCTGTATGTAACATAAGAGCTTGCTGGTGAGTTTAATTAAGGCTTTTTTTCTCAAAAACTATAGGACAGTCAGAGTCAAATTGTTCGTGACACCCAATGTGACCAAAAATTGACACCACAACCTTATTCCATTGAAATTTATTGTAACAAAGACGTGTTGCGATCTTTTTGGCTTCCTTGGGTTTAACGGACTATTTCACGCCGACCGGATGGCACATTCATACGATGTTGGAAAAAAAAGGCATGATCGGATGTGATTTCGACTGTCAATGGCCCTAACCCAAGTAAGGCCCTTTTCACACGTCCCGGTTGCCGGCTAACCGGCGCCGGCTACCCGGCGTGAAATGTATGGGCATGCCGGATTAATTACGCCGGAACATGTGAAAGCTACGTACCATGCCCATACACTTCACCACCGGGTACCCGGCGCCGGATAGCCGGCAACCGGAACGTGTGAAAAGGCACTAAGGGTTAGAGTTAGTGCCTTTTCACACGTTCCGGTTGCTGGCTATNGAACGTGTGAAAAGGCACTAAGGGTTAGAGTTAGTGCCTTTTCACACGTTCCGGTTGCTGGCTATCCGGCGCCGGGTACCCGGTGGTGAAGTGTATGGGCATGGTACGGAGCTTTCACATGTTCCGGCGTAATTAATCCGGCATGCCCATACATTCACGAACGGGTACCCGGCGCCGGATAGCCGGCAACCGGAACGTGTGAAAAGGCACTTAGACTCCAAAGTCTTCATGATCTATTAAATAACAGTAGTGGGTTCACTCCCACGTGACTATTTTTTGAAGCGAAAAACATTTTGTAAAAACATAATGTAATAAACACAATATCCATTAGGCTGAGCGAAGTTCTTTAATGGCTCTACTATACTTAAGTATTTCAATTGACCTATCATGATCACCTTTGACCTTAGACAAGGTATTTACGTGTTAAGGTGTGAACTCACTGACCAACCAAAAATAGGCCACTCAGTGTTGCCGTAGGTCGCTGTGGTACCATCACCGGTATGTTCCCACTGTGTCGTAACTCAATCAGCCGAATGGATCCGGCGCAAATGGCAGCCTACGCTTGCCCAGGGCTGTCAGTAGGGCCCTTAAAATATTAAAATAGTAGGGAAGAAGAAGAAGAAGAAGAAGTAGGGAGAAGGTTTAGTTTGATCCCCTTCGGCTGCTGGTCTATTGTGGTGAAACCACTCTTAACACAAGTTTTCTAGCTTACTTGGAGGAGATGACAGGGATATAAGTAATTGTTTACGAAAAGTTACTACATGATATTCAGTGGATACCGTTTCGGTGACGCACATTACCTACTTTATTTAGTTTTAGTTTTGTTTTCATTTTTTTTATGTTTTTTTGTGTCGCTGAATAAAATATTTCATTTTCAGATATGTATAGGTAATCTTTAAAATCAGGGACTTGTAAAAGTGCTCAAAAGAACCTAGGTAGGTATATGGAATATGAGTTGACTCTAGTTGTTCAACCTAGAAAATGATTTTTTGTCGTCATCTAATCTCTGTCGTGAACGCAACTGATACTCAATTAAAAAAAAACTCAAATACTTTTATCTTTAGGTTGTTTCGCTCAAGAATTTGTTTAGTCCCTAGCTTTTTACGACTTTAGAAACTCCTTTAAATTTTCATAAGTCGCCAGCCCTACACAACACTTGTAGCGGAAGGCGGGCCGACCTCGCCAGTTCAATTCGTAAGTGGCCGCGCCAAGGTCCTCGTACCTCGAGCCGTGACGTACCCACTCATTTTCCTCATTTTTGACTGTTAAAATAAAGCGAGACCAAAATTGGTCAGCTCATAATGCGCAGCATCATTTTACAAATTAGGATCTTTATCAAAATCTATGCAGATATCATGATCCAGGCCTCAGAAGTCTGTTGTTACTGTAAGAACAGTAAACGTACCTAACCCCTCATCTTTAAGAAATCTTCAAGCAAGTACCTGTATTTATGATAAGTAGCTTTTATTGTCTAGTGAACAAAAGCGCAACGAACACCATAGGGTGTTTATTTTTTTCTTTTTCATATAGATGAAAAAGAAAAAAATAAACTTATAGCAATTCATTATTAACAGTTTTATCTTCGCTATAGATTTAGCACCTACATTAAATCGACAAATAGCCGCATAATTCAAGTAATCCAATCCTCGATTTATAGTCGATAAAGTTAAACTGCAAGTCGGGGGCTTAAAGCCAAAACCTTGTTACAATAACGGGCCAAATAAGGGCACCGGTGTATAAATCGTGGCCGTAGACAAAAAGTGCGCAGGAGTCTTCCGCGTGGAAAGTTGTCCGCGCAAGGCCGCTGACGCAGGCGCGAGAGGACACCGATCCAGTCTCTGAGCTTTTTTCTTACGTCACCACTATTCACGCAGCTTGCCAGTGACTCTGACGTCTTATACTTATACCGCGTATATTATTTTGATTAAATTCGTTGCTGGTTCCAAGACTGTTAGTTATTCTATGGGACTATACTCATCCGTCACTGGTTAGGTTTCATTGGCATTTGGCATCCTACAGAATTCGATTATACATTGAGTTCCTATGTATAACGTGCTTCGCGACTGTAATGCGTACAAAATTCGAAATCGTTTCAACTAAGAGCTGTTTTTCTATAAAAAGAAATAAAATCGTTCTTCGAATAAAGCCACTTGTAGAGCTAAATAAAGTAAACTGTAAAGTAAAGGCTTATAGACTGTAATTTACTACTGTGTGAGTTCATGAGCCGTTAAATATGAATTCACAAGCAAATAGTTTTTAAATCATTACAAGTAATACCATTTGATGCACCTTTAATCTAATCAAATCATCAGTGCCTTCAAAGTTCGAAGAACAGAATATCGTCAAGTAAAACGTCAAAGCAAACTACGTCCATTAGATGTTCATTATTGCAGTTTTTCCATTCTCCACGTCCTGAGTCCCGTTGTGGGCGTCCCGTTGTTCCTTGTCCTGCTGATTGCTGAATTGCCCTTTGCACTTCCTACAACTTGTTCCCACATTACAACGGTTGATGTTGGAACCCGTCACTTTTACTGGCAGCTTCCTGTTGAGGATGTTATGTGGATAGGTTTAATATTGACATGCAAGGCATATGAGTTCATATGACGACATCTTGTGCCCGTAAAGCATGTCATGATAAATGCTGAGCTCAGCCTATTGGCGCAGTGTGTTAGTAATTGTTTTTTATTCTTGTTGTGTTGTTTTTTTATATGTGCTTACCTACTGTGTCAATAGTCTTATTCTGTTTTATTCTATTCTTGTGTAGTTTCAATTGGTACTTCTTTGGCGATTGGTGGTTCTGCTTTCGAAATAAAAATATTTTTTAGTCAGTAAATTGTTGTAAGCCGGTGTATGAAGATCAGCGGTTATGTTACTCATATTTTGCAGTGCTACTTACACCCTAACATCAAATTCAGTTTTCACTCCTCTGTAATGGGAACTACATAATTGAGACTGTATAGTAATTTTGATACTTCTGCAAGTCATTATCGAATTAGCTATATTGAAATAACCGTGAAAACCAATCTATTACATGATATCTGGACCGCGCCCAGGGCCCTTCGCCTTGTGTCGCTATTCGTGTTTCGGAAGCGCGTATTTTAAGATCGTTGGCGTGTCGAGATAAAAACAAAACATGTATCACAAAATATGTAGATGAAATGTTCAACGCAGGTCCTGAAAATTTCCCCCTTATAAAAAGTTTGTTGTAAACCTTAAGACTCCATGATTCGTCATATACTTCAGGAAAAGTAATACGTTGTAATATTTTAATGACATTCAACCCTAGTCCTTTTTAAACCTTTAAAACCAGAGGTGCAATGCAACCAAATAATGTATCGTGAGTATCGAGTACATAACATGCATACTAGCATAGATACAGAATGAAGGCTTATTTATAGTAAAATTCCTCGTACAAAAATAACGATTTGTATATCTAGCCCTATGCCCTTCGACTGGCGCCAAACGTATCCGCCCCGTCATCCCGCACGTATTTCGGAAGCATATTTTCTGATCGTTGCTTTTACAAGAATGTGTTTTTTATACATACGAAAAAATGTACATCCCACCCAAAAAAACGGCAGTATTTTTTTGGATCATACATCAATTCATGGTACATTACATAAAGATAAACAATGTACATACTACAAACTTGACGGAAGGAAAATCTGCCCGTTTAACGAGCGAAGGTCCGTCAACCGCAGGGATCAGCAAGGTCAAAGGATCTGGTCGTGATCGCAATGCCAGATGGAGACTCAAATTAGGCAATGGCGATTAT